AACAAAATCTTTGTATATATGTTCCTGTGCGCAGGGAGTGTCACTTCAGGAGCCTCAACCTGATAGACCTCTAAGTGCTACCATAATAATAAATGTTTGAATATTTCTATTTTACAGACTACATTGACTATTTTCAACTAGTCTCGTCATTAATGTAAAAATTAGTCTTGTTTTAGAACTTACAACATTTAAACTCCAGTATTAATCTACTTTTCAATCTTAAAAATTGCTGATCTTAGAAGTGACACCTTGAAAATTCTCTAATGATGTAAGTAACTACAGGTCTAATGCAGTACCATTTCAAGTTGCTGAAACGTCTCCCTTTGATTTCAGTGAGCTTTAGATCTGGCTCCAAAGAGGACTGAGTTGGTGGGATGTGGTAACAAGATACTGGGTTAGATTCTGCTCTCATTTGCTTCCCGATAATTTTGTGACTTCAGTGGGGTTAAACTAGTGAGTGTGTCTTATTGAAACACACACACACACACATGCGCACACACACACTCTCTCTACCTACCTACCTACTTACTGACCTACCTACCTTTAGGTGAGAGGAGACTAGCCCATTGAGCCAAGTATCCCCTTCTGGTTGTCTAACCAACTCAAAGTTAGATCTAACTTAATAATGACAAAAATTTGTTTCCTTCTCTATAGTCTTTTTTTTATATATATATATATGAGAAATACTGAGGCAATTCTACCAATTCAAGAAAATTGAACAGCTTTTGATGGCAGCCACCCTATGGTTACTTACAGTGTGATCTCTCACAGTGTGACCGGTAGTAAGAGAACACTTACCTTAGGAAAGAGGATGAACTTTGAACAGAAATGCATAGTAACCGTTTTTGATTTTGCTGAGTCTTATTTACTGAGGAAGCTAACAAGTCTCCTGGCCACACCCTTGGACTGTTGCTGCCCTACTGTTGTTAATGGGTGTTTTTCTAAACCCTATGATTGCAGTGATTTGACTATATCTGTTTTTTAAACCTGCTTAGTTAGTGGACACACTTAAATCAGTTTTAGCTTAACTTGGTAAACAAGTAATTCAGTAGCCAGCAGGGGTTTCCATCAGTTTAGCTAACCAGATTTAAAAACTAACTTTAGTTAAACTGGTGCAACTTGCCTTCAGAAAAAGGCTAAGAGTGTCTTCTGTTTAGAGGCAGGAAGTATGGGTTAGATTTACAATTTGAATTAGGGGGACCCTATGAACTACTCAGATGCCAGTTTTGGGGAAGAAAGGAGGCATGACAGCAATCTTTCACTCATGTAAAGCCTAAAAAGTCCTGTGGCAACAGTTAAAATAACAAATAGATAAAATCCATGTAGGTCTAGAAAAGCCTCTGCTTTATATTCTAATACCTGCTATAAAATAACCTTGCCTTTATATTGTGTCTTTACTTTAAATTTTTTACAAAATATGTATGTATTGAGGAAGCACCTCCCGCAGCTCTGAAATGAGCCACATTGGAGGTGAAACATGGCAGTTGTTAAACCGTAATAGCAATGCCTCACTTTAGGACAAGAAATTGAAATTGCAGGGGGGGAATTTGGGTAGAGGAGATGACTACCCAAATTAATAACTGGTCAATGGGAGGTGAAATACCTCCAATTGTTACAGTATGGGGATAAATGTCTGAAATGGGACATTTGATAGTGCAGCATTCTATGGCACCACGTGGGAGCATGGGTTTAGTACAGAATAGTAAGAGTGCCACCTAGCTACATGCTCTAGCACTACGGGTCGTGGTTAGGGATTGGTCTGAATCAATTGACTTAAAAAGTCAACAGGAGTACTTCCATTTAAGTATTTGATCAAAAACCATGTAGTCTCCTGGACTGAAGGCATTGTACATACCTATAGGGCTAGTCTATTGCATGCTTGGGCACAGGCGCGCCGCCAGCTTTTCTGACGCCCTAGGCGGTGGAAGGTGCCTCCCCCTCCCCCCCCAGAGGCTCTGAAATACCGCCACGGTCGCCGCCCCCCCAAGTTGTAGTGCCCTAGGCGACCGCCTAGGTCACCTAATGGGTTGCGCCGGCCCTTCTTGGGCAAGCACACTTTATTAAAATCCTTTTCTGTAGTGGAGGGTGTCCAGCTGTTGGAAAAAGTTGTCATGCAGTCTTCTGCATCCATGTTTGACTACTTCTTTCCAGCAGCATTGTTGCCAGCCAGGGTTTCTTTTGTAATGTGCCCAGAGTGCCTTAAGAAACGGACCAAGAGAAAGGGCTAAAAATGCTTTTAGGGACACACATGCATAAAGGCTACAGAACAGTAATGGCAGCTCTTTATAGAACTGTTTTTTGGGAAAAAGAGGAAAAGATCACAAATGTTTTCAGTCTTTTATGTTTCTCCCCTGATAGGTGGCCTGAAATCTTGAATGTCAAAATGTTTTGACCATCTCTAGGTTCTTAATTTAATAAGTTCTATATATGACTGAGGAGTTATCCTTTTCTGGTAGCCGAAGACTTGCTTATACTATAGCAAATCTTGCTTTGCTGGAGCCAATCTCCTGCTAACTTTTACCAGATCCTAGCCATCCCACTCACAAAACAAAAACTACTCCAGAGTTTCCTGGCTTTGATGTTGCTTCTGTAGCATTTGTGTACACGGCAATGCTATAGTGTGAAGAATCTTGCAAAAACACCAGCTCTTACACCCAAGCATTGATACTGGTGGAGTGTTCAAGGCGGTCAAAGTAAAATTGGGGAACATTCTGATGGGCTGGCTCTGCCATATAAGAATGGATGGGGGGAAAGATGGTGAATCTGAAGACTGCAGTCCCCATGATTGCTTTAAAAATAAATGGCATAACTTTGTTGGTTTTTACTGTTGTACATATTTCTGAAAAGCTGAAGAAAGTCTCAGTGTGCGTGTTTTGCTATTGCTCATGTCCATCAATGCACTGAACATGCTTATAACTAAGTTGCTCTATTGAGGATTGTCACTAACTTTTTACTAGAGTATTGATATGGAAGAAAGAACCAAACCATTATTATTAGAACAAAGTACCTGAGAGTGCTTTCTCCTGAGAGAGTGGTAATCTCACAGTGTTTCTAAAGTGATGGAGCAGCATCCTAGTGACTAAGCTGATCTTAGAATTACAGGACAAACATGAATCTATCACAGGAGTGGCCAAACTTACTGACCTTCCGAGCCGCATACAATAATCTTCAGAAGTTTCAGAGCTGCAGGACGTGCACAACCTGCCCTGTGGGACGGCACCTGCTAAGGTGCAGTTCTTCTGGCCCACCGCCCCCTTGTGGGGCTGAAGCCCTTAGATTCCCCTCCCTGCAGGGCAGAAGCCCCTAATCCTCCCACCTTGCTGCAGGGCAGATGCTCCGAGCTCCCCTCCCTCCCCTCCCCCCATCTGGTAGGCAGAGAATGGAGAGTGCGTGCGGGGTCCATGAGCTGCACTTTAACTGTAAAAGAGCCGCATGTGGCTCACAAGCCACAGTTTGGCCACAGCTGATCTGTCACATCACTGTTCGTCTACTTTCCTCCATCAAACTGAACTAGCAGGTTGCTTATTATGCAGAAGTTATTTACTAGATAGTAGGAGGAAAAAGACTGGTCCAGTGGCTTTGGTGAACCATGGTTTTAATGGTGTTAGTTTACAGATGTCTCATAGATAGTCTTAAATATTAGTGGGAAAGGCCTTGGGTGGACTGTTTCTGATACCACCTGGTTCAGAGGGAAAACTATAAATCTACATATTTTAAAAAGTACTTTATAGACCAGGGGTCGGCAACCTTTCAGAAGTGGTGTGCTGAGTCTTCATTTATTCATTCTAATTTAAGGTTTCACATGCCAGTAATACATTTTAACGTTTTTAGAAGGTCTCTTTCTATAAGTCTATAATATATAACTAAACTATTGATGTATGTAAAGTAAATAAGGTTTTTAAAATATTTAAGAAGCTTCCTTTAAAATTAAATTAAAATGCAAAGCCCCCCTGACCGGTGGCCAGGACCCAGGCAGTGTGAATGCCACTGAAAATCAGTTCGCGTGCCACCTTTGACACACGTGCCATAGGTTGCCTACACCTGTTATAGACGTTACTGTAGATTTTTAAAAAAATTACTCCAAAGAGGTTATGCTGCATATCCTTCTCCTAAGTCAGGTCCTGTAATAGAGACTTTGGTGAACTGAGACATTGTAGGCTCTCTCTTAAAGGGACTGGAGTTCCATCTTAAAGGCCTTCTCTTCTTTGCTTAAAAAACCCCAACAAACCAAACCAAACCGAACCCCACTGATATCCAAAGCAAATGGCCGATTGATGGCCACTAGAATAGAGCAAATGGTTTTGTTGTTGTTGGTTCAGTTCATGTCATCCATGACCTCTCCCTTTTTAGTTTTTAGGGTAATCGCTTTGAAGCTAAAATTACTGGAAACTTTTAATCACTTAAAAAGTTTCCAGTAATTAAACTTGTAGAAACTAATTACCCGCTCTTTACTTAGTACTCGTTTTGTCACTTAATTGTGTGTGGTCATCTTCTCCCCCCCACATTCCCCCAATACGCTTTTTATTTATTATGAATAGTCATTAATCTGTTAACATGAAAGCTGTCTGCATGAGGTGGCTCTAATACTTTAAGTTCTCTTGAAGTGAAAGGGAAGGGAATAGCTAATTGTTTTCTGAAACTTGTTTTGTTTTTAAATATCTAACTCTCTCAACAAATTAACACATGCAAAGAATAGAGACTGATGTGCAGTGCATTTTCCTTCTTGTTATGTCTGTGTTGGTTTTTATGCACTGCTGCGGGTTTGTTTGTTTGTTTTAAGATTAGTTGTATGATCCTTATAGGGTGGCTGGCATGCCCCTGTCAACTCTGTTGTTCAGTTACTTTTTGAAAGAAACAGAGAGAAAATCATTTGTTGACAGTGGAGCTGGATAAATTACCAGACTTCTGAATTGCATTGTATTACGAAACAGTGTTTCCTTTTGGTAAACCACAATGTTGTTAATAAATGAAATCCTAATCACTATAACTTTGCTTTGTAGTTTTTCCAATCTGAGAATTTACCCTCATGGATTAGTATTGGTGGATCTGCAGAGCCACAGCGATGATATGAAAGGAAGAGATGAAATTGATCATGTAAGTATACCGTTAGCCATCTCAAAGCACATAAAAGAAATCCTAGCAGCTTCTTTGAATATGTCAGGGTGGATCCTACTATAGGTTCATGTGTCCACAAGATCTGAGTCTTTTAAATAGCAGTGTCTGTTGGGGCTGGCCATGCATCCTGTTACGTCGTTGTCCTCTCATGCAAGAGTAAAAGTGGCTGCCACCCTCCCCTTGCCTCTTACCACCCGTGGCAACAAAATAAAACCATGGCGTCCAACCCACTACCTCTTAATGTTGGGTAAATCTTCTGCCTAACTCAGTCTACCTGATTTAGACTCAGGAACTAACTAACTAACTTACTCTCTCTGTGTATATATACACATACTTGCTCTAGTATATTAATAGAACAAAATCTTTCAGGATGTCTTTTTGTGGCCATATGAGGCTGCTTAGGACATTTTATCTAGATAGGTCACCAGAAGGCTGGTGTACCTCTCCCTCCAGATATGAAGGCCCACTCCACCAGGGCACAAACAGTGTCTTCTGCCAGTTTCAGGGATATCTGCAAGGCAGCAGTGTGGAGTAAACCACTGACTTTTGTCAAGCTTCATGCCCTTAAGTTAGCAGCCAGGTCAGATGCCCAGTTTGGGAGAGCTGTACTGCAACTGCCGTTGAACTGAAGCACCTTATTCACCATCCAGAGGTGACGCTGCTTAGTGGTAGTGCAACCTTCCACATGCTGCTGTGTCTTAATGCCAAGTTGGAGAATCAACTACCTTTTTACTTAGAGAGAGAGCCTCTGTATGCCCATTTGATCCTTGGCCTGCAGGCTGATATTGTCAATAAATGTGCCAATTGTGATCGTAGCTGCTGTAATGTGGATACTGTTCACTAGGAATTGGGCTAAGACTGCTAACTTCACATTGGCTTCTTATTGTCATAACATTGACCAGATCTGTATTGGTAACTTACAAGTGAAAGGCTGTGTGTCATTACTTTCCTCTTGAGATACCCAGTGTAACAGGGTGTGTAAACACCGCACTGAAAGGGCCAGGGCCAGTGTGGGCTCTGTGTGCTAAGGTAGCTATGCCAGTCATGCATGGTAAAAAGGAAGTTGCCGTCAGCAAGGAGGAAGCCCTGAGAAGGAAGTGGCTGCTGAAGCATTAGGAGGAACCTCCCAATGCCAGAGATCCTACACCTCCCTTGCTTCTCCTCCTCCCCCTCTCCCCCCCCCCCCCTCTGCGAGGAGTCAGGTGAAGCCCAGGAGAGAGAGACTGGCTTGGCCACCTGGCCAAGAGTCCATAAAGCTGCTACCCAGGCACTCCCAAAGTAAGGTGGTGCTACTGACCTCTTTCAAACTCAGCCTCAAGCCTAACCCCGTCCTTCCATCTAAACACAAATTGTGTTAACCCAGGGCTTGGACCCAGGCTCTCAGGCTTGGACCCAGGCTCTCAGGACTCCACGAGCCTGAGCCAAGCCAGGATTCAGGGTTCGAGACCTGTTGCTTTACAGGGTAGACATAGCCCCACTGGACTTGTCCACCAAAGGCATTCCATGCTCCCATGTGCTGACTTTCTTTGTCCTCTTGACAGTCATGTGTGGTGGTCACTCATGGTTTCCCACACTACACCATGAACCAAGGGTTAGAGGGGCCATGTGTTGGGAGGGTACTAAGAAAGTTGGGTGGCTGGACTCAGGCCCACATAATGCAGTGTAGATGCTGGTTGGGACCCAGGGTTCAACAATTCCTAACCTGGGGTTACAAATGAGTGTAGACACTCAAGCCGTAAGTTAACAAACTCATGGACTGCTAACTGGAGTTCTGCTGGCTCTGGGCTTTTACCTGTCGGATATATCTTCTCAGCAATTAAACATCTGTGGCTGGCTGGGTCAGATGACTTGGACTTGTGGGGCTGTAAAATTTCTGTGCAGACATTCAGGCCCAAGCCTGATCATCTGTACTGCAAGTTTTCAGCCCTGCAAGGCTGACTCAGGCCATTTGACTCGGGCTTATGGGGCTCGGGTTGCAGGGCTGATAAATTGTGGTGTAGGAGGTGTTCTAGCTCAGGCTGCAGCTTGAGTCCTGGGACCCTCCCACCTCACAGGGTCCTAGAGTCCAACAGCCAGCCTGAGCTGGAAGTCTGCACTACTGTTGAACAGCCCCACAGCCTGAGCCTGGCGAGCCCAAGTCAGCTCGCACGGGCCAGCCACGGGTGTCTAATTGCAGTGTAGACATACCCTAAAAGGCTGGGGGCTTGGCTGGGCTGACCTGACCTCGGGGTGATAATTGGGCATGGCCAGGGGCCCCAACCCAGCTGTATAGACACCACAGGGAGACTCTTTTTACACCTTATTTAACACTATTTCAAATTACTGTATTGTGGGTGGGGAAGTGTATTTCTGACCTTTGTAAACTCAACATCTTTCATGTTTCTTACAGCTACTAAATAAGATAGAAGAAAAAATGAAAGAGTTGTTTCACAGCAGTATCAAAAGGGTAAAGCGGTATGTTTTTTTAATGTATCATCGCCTTTTAACTTGATTTACATTAACATTGAAAGTGAGTCAAATCCTGCTTTGTTACACAGGTATAAATAGGGCCTAATTCTTCTGAAGCCAGGGAATCACTCTGGATTGACAGAGAATTTGGTTTTGATCCTGTAGTGTAGTGGACAGGTCTGTGGACATACCTTTTGATTTACTGTTAATTTTTGTTTCTAATCCTCAGATTTATTCAAACAGATATGTAAATATATTTTTGTATACTCATTTGAAAATTTCATATGGCAGTTAATTTCTACAATAAATTACCTGTTCAAAGAAACACTGTCAAGCTTGGTAGGTGCAAAATTGACTTTTTTGTATCTAGCAAATTCCACGACTTTTTTTTAAATGAGAGATTTTTGGTTCCCAGACACATTCTATAGTGCTGTGTTGGAGTTTGTAAGAAAACGCAGTTTTAAGTTTCTAAGAGGCTATTAAAATCAGCAATAATAAATTATTGCCTGTATAAAAAACTGTAAATAGTCAGTGTGTGTTTATATATATATATTAGTGGGAGCATGTCTGCTTTTTCAGTTCCTATAAATGTGGTGGTTTTATTTCAGAATTGATAAATATCGCCACTAGGCTTGTTAAATTGTGTATAGCTTAAGCCATTGTGTAATACTAATCCTTTGTATACTATGTAATAATTATGGTGCATGAAGAGAGAAAGGGAATCCAAAATGAAGAAAAAGTAGTCTGAAATATTTTCATAACAGTTGAGTTGAATAAATAAAAAATTGGAGAAAATAGCATTTTAATTTGTTTGATATTTTGATGTGCTCAAATGGTGAGGCTATCTTGTCCATGTGTGTTAATTTTATAAGGATAGCAAAGGTCTTTCACTCTGGACGCAGAACAGCCAGAAATTGCAGTTCCTGATTTATTTATTTTTTTTTTGCTTTCTCGTATTTGTGCATGTGTGTGTAATATATAGATTTTTTATTTTTTTACTTTCTCCCACCGTGTATTGCCATCTAGTGTCTCTCAGAAGGTATAATTTTGATTTTTGTCCTTTAGAATCACTGGAAATTCAAAAGATGAATTCATTTATTTTTTCAAAAAGCATAATTCTCCTCACTAGGAAACAAATTAAATCAGTGTTTATGCACAGAAGCATAACAAAAGCATTTTGATCTGTTGGTGTCACCTTAACGTGAACATTGAATGTGAATTTGTCTTTTTAAAGCTAACTCATTTTTTAAAACTGAACTTATACTCGATTAAGAAATTGTAAAATGACTTATTAGATTCATCCAACTTTGAGGCTACATGTCTGAGCCAGACTTTCAGAAATTAATGCAAATTCTGGTGAAAACATCCAAATGTGTTTCACATCTACGTTAAGAATAAAGGCAGACAGTACTTAAACTTGTTTGGTGTCTTTTTGCCCATGTTCTGCATTTGTGTTATTAATTTCGGTTTATAGTTTCAAATTAAGTGTCTAGTGTTACACAAATCCTCTTCCCTGCTATAAAAGACTGATTCACACACAGGTTTTGCTAGAATAGTGCTAAATTAAAGTATCAACACCCAGATTCTCCTGTAGACACTTGCAATCCTTGTATATTTGACTGCTCGCTAAAATATTTAAAATAACCTTCATGACATTACACACAAATTGGAATAACTTTGTATACAGTGCAATCTTACTGAATACAAGAAAAATGTAAAAATCACATTTGCAGATTTTTATTTTTTTGTATGAATACTATTTGGATAGTATTTTCTTGCAAAATCGTAGATTAAACATGTATTTGAGTAGGTGTCCACTACATTCAGTTATGTAGTACTGCGTTCCTAATGATGATAAGAAAATGTTAAGTACTATGGGGGTGGGAGAGCATCTCTCATGTACTGCATTTATGCTAAATTAAAGGAGAATGAGGAATGTTTGTTAACTTTCAGATTGAATTGTGAATAGTTTTTGTTTTTCCCTTCTTTAGATTGCCAGCAATTGTGAGAGGAGAAGCCATTGATAGATACTGGCCCACGGCTGATGGGCGTTTGGTAGAGTATGACATAGATGAGGTTGTTTATGATGAAGAGTCGCCTTATCAGAATATTAAAATTCTACATTCGAAACAGTTTGGGAATATTCTTATCCTCAGTGGGGATGTTAGTAAGTATGGTCTCTTTACAATGTGCTGTTGGTCTGAAGCTGTAGGTTATTTGGATTCTATCTTATCAGAACACACCTTTGTAAGTTTCCCATGGATGTTGTGTGGAGTTATTGGAGGGAGGGAGGGAATGAGAGAGAGAGAGAGAGAGAGTGTGTGTGTGTGTGTGTGTGTGTGTGTCTTAAAGGCATTTTTTTCAAAGTATCAAACAAAGTATCAGAGAATAGTGAAGAGACCTCTCTTATATTTATTTAACCCTTTCCCAGTCTATGCAACCTCTGACAGTTACTTTAAGAGATAGGAAAGCAAACTCAGTCATCCATCTTCTAAACAACTGCCCATTATTTTAAAGGACAAATGAAATGATTTTCCCTAGTCTGCCTTAGGGTTTCATAACCTTGTTAGATGGCTTATTTTCCCCTTTAAAATATTTGGGCCCTTGGCCACTTGCTTTCTCTTTGTTAACTGATTTTCTTTGGTTGAGGCCAGCTAGGGGCAGCCAATTAGCGGTCTCAACCTCCCCATCAATACTACTACTTCTTCGAGTGCTTGTACTTGTCCATTCCGATTTAGGTGTGCATGCCCTGAGCACAGCTGTCAGAAATTTTCCCCTAGTTGGCTCAGCTCTGGCGCCTCCTGGTGCTGCGTGAACATAGAACCGATATAAGGGGCCCCGCTGAGCCTGCGGTCTTCAGTTCCTTCTTACTGCCCGTGAGGGCTGTTGGAACTGCCCTCTTTGCCTTTGCAAAGTGCCTTTAGTGGTTCTTGCTATAGTTTTCCTGTACATAGTTTCTTAGTCTAGTTTTTAGTTGTTTTAGTGTAGTAGGAGTAGGGCTCTTTTCCATGCCCGGAGCGGCTGTCCGTTCCTCCCCCAGTACCAGGGCATGCCTCGGTCACTGGGGCTTAAACAGTGTGCTTCCTGTGGCAAGCCTAGGCCTACCAGCGACCCTCACTTGAGTTGTCTCAAGTGTCTGGAGGAGGGCCACAGGAAAGAACACTGCCAGATCTGCCGTGATTTCAAACCCCTCTGGTGTGCTTTGCAGGCATCGTGAAGACATATATATATATATAATAAAATGATAGCCCAGGGAACTGCTCAATTAACTGAGGTGTAAGAAAAAGTCAGTGAATTAGCAGAGGGTATGCAGTAATGCCCCCACCTGCAATTGGCTGCTTGCGGTCACATCTGCACAGAGTTCATTGACTCTAATGGGGTCATCATGCAGATCTACCCATGCAGAGTAAATGATGGGATGGGGGCGGAAGTAGCCGTAAAAATTCCATGCCGGGAAAGCCCTTAGTTCTGGCATGTCCTCACTTTGGAGAGCTGGATTTTATAACATTAACACTTGTAAGCATGTTGGTTTTTTTTGTTCTGGAAGAATATAAAATCCATGCTGGTTTTCTCACAGACAATACACAGCATTGCTTTAAGATGCATCTGGTCTACTGTATTTAGTGATTAATGACTTTAAAATGCAAAGCTTCTGACCAACTTTCTCTTTGTTCCTTCTAGATCTGGCAGAGAGTGACTTGGCGTATACGCAAGCCATAATGGGCAGTGGGAAAGAAGACTACACTGGGAAAGAAGTGCTGATCCTAGGAGGTGGTGATGGGGGTATACTATATGAAATAGTCAAACTGAAACCAAAGATGGTCACCATGGTGGAGATATCCTTTCAACAAATGACCATTCATTTTAATAATACAGCATACTCTTCCTTTTGTATCTTGGGACCTCAAATTAAATGTCTCGTATATGAACTTGTGTTGGGAGACTGGCTCTCTCTAAGCCAAAAAATAGGCATGGTTTTAGACCCAATCACTGCAGCATGCAGGCACTGACTGTGAGATTTGATCCTGGCCATGGAATATATAGTTCCAAGTTCCTAATCCAAACCGTAGCTCTGGGACAGCATTTTCTGCACTTTGAGCTGAATCCCGGTTTTCTTATTTAGGTAACTTAAAGCCATTGATGTCAGTGGGAATGTCACCTGATTAAAGACTTCAGGATTTGGTTCTTAATGATGATGGCACATATGTCTACCGTATCCTCTTTCTCAGATATCAGTTAAAGAAAATGATCCAAAGGTGGCTTCATAAATAAGATTTCAAAGTTCCATTTTCCAGATATGATTTGCTGTTAGTCACTGTACATAGGAAATTTCATTAGCTATAAACCAAAATAATTATCATCATCATTGTACTAAAACATTACGCTTTTAAAATGTATGGTAAATTATGGTGCCAACAGTGCTGGTTGGAAAGAATTTTTTTTTTAATATAAATAATATCTTAAACCTCTAATTGAGGTTGGGAATTAATTCCTAAACCTAGATGTTGCAGGAAATTATATTACTACGGTATTACTATTCCTCCATAAGTTTGACTGTATCTCTTTGATAAAAGGGAAAAAACCCCAAAACTTTGGTTAATAAAAGGTGAACAGAATTTAATGCTCCTTAACAAACATCAAACATTGACCAAATGGTGATCGACGGGTGTAAAAAATACATGCGTAAAACATGTGGAGATGTATTAGACAATCTTAAAGGAGAATGCTATCAGGTAATTTATCTGTTACCTTCATTGCAAGTAACATCTAGATTTAGATCTGGCATGAATTGTTTTGGGAAGTTTTTTGTATGCCATCTGGCTTAACATTTTCTTTCCTACTATTTTAGGTTTAATCCATATCTGCATTTCTGAATCATAGTATATTTTGCACGAGGGTTTAGATTAAAAACACTGATCCATTAATTTTGAAATATTTAACTCTCCATCTCCAAACCCACTCTGCTTTTTTAATATTTACAACTCACACTTGGAATAATAAAGAAACTTGAAGCATAATAATGCATATTGCCATCTCCGAACCTTGTTAGTAGCTGAGTGAAAATAGGTAATATTAATATAAAAATAGAGTGTGGTATCTAATATCTCCCAGTATAAACTGTGTGAGAAGTAATGCAAATCATAAACTTAAATCAATGCTAGTGCATCATTCAGAATCTCAGGTATAGTTCACATGATTGGGGGGTTAATTTAGTTTTATCTGTGCTATTATTTGCTTGAAATCTGTTGGCAAATTCTATTCATATGAGTAAATATTCTATACCTCCTCCCCATTGGAAAAAAGAAGAAACAGGGTTACTGAGAAGGGTATGTAACATATCTCGTCTGTCAGAGCAGGTAAACTAGCCCATATCTACTGGATCATAGTTCGGTATCTGAACTGCAAGGTTATTCTTCCTAATGACACATCCTTGAACACTAGCTAGTTTTCTTGGAGAAAAACTAGCAAAAATTGCATGATATTTTGCGTGTGTCAAGTGCCGTTCATCCAAGGATCTCAAAACTTGCAATTATCTTGTGAGGCTATTAACTACTTCCCCATCTACAAAATTGGGAATAACAGAGGCACAAATGATCTAAGTGGTCACCCAGCAGTCGGTGACAGAGCCGGGAATGGAAATTCTGGTTCGCTGCTGCATCACTCTGCTGCCCCATCCCCCCAGCATTGCCTTCTATATGGAGATATAAAAAGCTAAGATTAGAACCTTATGTTAAAGTCAGGCTTAATTCTGACCCTTTTCCCTATTTTAATTCCTATACATCATATTAGTCTAGTCAGTTTAAGAGGATTTTGATCACTTATTAAAACAATAATTTTTTAGGTTCTAATAGAAGACTGTGTTCCAGTACTGAAGAGGTATGCCAAAGAAGGAAGGATGTTTGATTATGTAATTAATGATCTGACAGCTGTTCCAATCTCCACATCTCCTGAAGAAGGTTAATTCTTTGTTTATAGTAACTGTTTTTAACACTTTGCTTTCTTGACAGTTTGCAGCAAAATATTATTTTGGGGGTAAAAATGAGGGGGATTTTTTTTACCTTATGTGATGCTTCTTGGGGGTACCCTGGGCTGTGAGGAACTTTGCTGCCGCTTCTGCCCCACCCCCTGCCCCTCCTGGCTTCACCTTGAGGAAACCTTGTCTGTACCTGCCATGGGTCAGCTCCCCAACTCCATGGGCAACACAAGCACACTCGTCTAGGCCTACTCAGCCCTGCTGACATTCTGCAGGTTAGTGAAAGGCACACTCCAACTCCGGAGCATCTGTCTGGATTGCCTAGCTCTGTGGGGCTCTTGGGTCACAACTAGTTCTATCAAAAGCTAAATAGCAGAGTGCAGCGATGGGGTACATCTACACTGCAAAAAAACGCCAAAACAAAACCTGTGGCAGTGAATCTCAGCCTGGGTCATTTGATGCAGGGCTAAAAATAGTGTTGATGTTCCCACTTGGGCTGGAGCTCAGGCTCTCAGACCCCCGCCCTCCCGCTGTGGGTTTCAGAGCCTGAGCTCCAGCCCAAGTGGGAACATCTGCACTGCTATTTTTACCCCTGTAGTGTGAGTCTGAGTCAGTTGATGTGGGCTCTAAGATTCTGCCATGGCTTTTTTTCCCCTGCAGTAGTGTAGACATATATCCACAAGTACGTCCCCCCCCCCCACCCCCCCTTTTCTGGATGTTGGTGGTGACAGGGACCTAGTCACTGCACAGCAGTGAAGCCAACTGTACACTTACTAAGAGTTTATTTCAGCCATGTCAGAGTCTCATTCAGGGGTGTGTGGGGTGGTATTCACAGCAGTTTCTATAAGTAACATGCTCTTTTGAGACAAGAGATGTTCTCATAATTAGGAGCACTAGGAAGAAAAGTAAGGTGTGGGGGGAAAAGAGTGCACATGCATGCAGGTGGAGAGAAGAATTGTGACGATCAGGACTTCTAAATTTTAGCATTCAGTTCCTGAATTGGGAGAAGGAGGAAGTGAGAAGTACTTTCCTTGCAAATTTTGAAGTAAATGTCATAGCAGGATCTTTATTTTCCCCCACCTCCACTTCTCGAGTTGAATTTAAACAGTACAGCTAGTTTATAAACTATGGAAGACTTTGGAAACACAAATCTGTTTTTTACAGCTTGCCATAGATTTGTGACCTACAGAACTTGAATGTACATTTTCTTTAATTGGGTCTTATGAAATTGGGGGACACACTATATTTTATGTTCTCAGGAAGGGAGATATGTTTTATGTTTTTGAAAATAAATATAATAGTGTCGCACTATATTTGAGTTGCTGCTCTAGCATGTACGTTTTTGGAGCATTTTTTGCCCAGATTTCTTTTCTCTTTGGAGCATTTCTTCCCTCTCCTTCCTCCCGCCCCCCAGGAATTTACTTCCTCTCTGGGTGATGGTACAATATAAACTACTGTACTCATACTGTAAGTTTTGGCAATTATTTTATACAGAACCCAGAAGTATGCTGAGCTCTGCTTGAAGACAGCCACTGCCTTAAATAGCACCAAGACTCAGACCTTGATCTTGTAGTTTACCCCATCAGGCACATCCCTGAACTCATGCACAATGAACTGCATGATCGGGGCCTATATTTAGCTATGATGCAGTGAATGATTACAGCAATGTCCTTCCTCATTCCAGTGTGAGTGCCACTGAAAATCAGCTCGCGTGCCGACTTCGGCACGCGTGCCATAGGTTGCCTACCCCTGCTTTGGAGTAATAATGTTTAGGCTTTTGTATATTAGAATACATTTCTAAAAGGTCAATGTTTAAGCTTCTGATTTTTATTTTTAAAATACTGCTTTTGTTTCATATCAGCCCAGATATCACTTAGAGAAAATTGTGCGAAAGAGGATTTTTATAGATTGTTTAAAAACATTTTTTTGAGAATGCAAACGTTTGATATGTTTAGATTCAGTGTTACTAGTACCAACTCAGGGCATTTTTCGGCTATATTTGGATTACAGTCCAGATGACTCATTACACTGAGTAGGGGGGATACAGTATGCAGGCAGACTAGGGAAATACCCTTTTGTATTTCCCTAGTCTGTATTTTGTCAGTAATATGGAATAACTGCAAAAGACCCTGCCTTTCAGTGCCTATTAGATAAAGATGGGTTGATTTCATAGCACAGCATGAAAAAACTGTCTCCAAACATTCTATAATGGCTCCTGGTCCTAATTCTACTGGTTGTTGTTTTTTTTTTAACTCCCATGCTGTTGCTTATTCCTTGATTGATATTTTTGGGGGGCGGATAAATCCAATAGCAGCCCCCAAGCAAGACAGACAAAAAGCAAATATGGAAGGTTGCTGAGCAAGTCTGAAAGTTGAGGTAGTTTTTTTCAAAACAGTTGAGGACTTCAGAATTATTATGTGCTATATCACTATTCTATTAAAATATGGATATGGAACACTTTAGGGAACATAAGATACCTTAACTATGGAGAATAGAATTTTCCTGGCAGAAGACACGGTGTGGATGGAATGGCTAGAAGAAGTTGAAGTCTTATTGTGCTGTATGTTGAAGGACAGCAAGATCTCAATATTTTCATTAGGTGGCGCTATTTTAGATTTCTCTCCAGTAATGCCTTCAAGATGACAGATAACTATTGGCTTGAGTTGCCGATTGCAGTTATGCTTGCGAAACAAGTTAAACCTTCATGAGGGTTAGTTTAATGCCTGCATCCAATGACTTAAAGAATCACCATTACATTCTTTCTCCTGCATATTTTTCTTATTTTCAGGACTCTGGAGCTTTTCATCCTGAACTGCTTACCAATATGCACCTGGCAGTGTGAAAAATTAGAACTGAGGGGGGAATGTCACTTACGCATCTAACCTCCGTAGTTTAGGATTGCATCCTTGCTTCCTCTGTGCCCTTGGCTGAGTGGAAACTGCATTACCTTATTGGTAATGAAATACTTTTCTATTTGCATTCTGGGCTTAAAAAGTCCAGTTACTGGCATTGAAGACTTGATTTTTTTTTTCCTGAAATTTTCTTTGTTTACCACTTTAGTTTGACTTTAAGCACAGTCAGCTGAATAGTGGGAACTCATGAAAATAAGTGTGGGAATTCACACTACAAGCTATGCAAAGTCTCTCAGAAATTCTAAAAAAAACCTGACAAAAATCCCAGGAGCCCAAGTGCTGGTAATCAACACTTTATTTAAACTAATGATAGAGAAAAATAATCATCCCGCTGAAATACTCAGCAGCAGTGCTTAAATATTAGTTATGTAATGCTTAACAAGCCACTAGTACTTGAAGATTCTAATTCATTCTTTATATCCAGATTCTACGTGGGAGTTTCTACGATTGATTCTTGACCTTTCAATGAAAGTCCTGAAACATGATGGAAAATATTTCACGCAGGTATGACACTGTGATTAAAAGAAATAATTCTACATTCCTTCTCTATATATAGTGACTTACATTTTCAGATCCTGAAAAAATACTGGCTGACTTTTTCTTTAATATATTGCTAGGGATATTTATATGAAACATGGTCTTTGCTGCTGCTGACTCATTTGTTTCTGGTGGTGCATGTTCTCAGCTGAGGTCATAGTGTATTTGTTTTGACATTTATAAACACTTCTTCAGGAACTAGTTGGCTTGTCACAGAGGATTATGGCTTCAAGTGGTGTTTAAAAAAGCAAGAATTGGTGAATTGTTAAACAAAGAACCATATTCATGCCAGTGGCTCTAGTAATATAAACAAAAGATGAAAACTTATGTTGTCCATAAGGCATGAGTGAGTTGAAAACTGACTTACTGGATGCTGAACCAGCAATAAATGGAGAGTTAATAATAAAGAACACCTCCCCATAGTATGTTTAGATTGCTAGCTCCAACTTCAAGGACCAGATTTGCAAATATAAATTTTTGCCTGCATTTTTTCATCCACAAAATTAGAGGCAACTTTTGAAAACCTGGTCTAATTTTGGCACTTGTAAAAACACTTCAGGTGAAGACAGTGGCAAAACTCTGATTTCCAAGGGCCCATTAATGTTGAAACCTTTGGCCTAATATTTATTAACTTAAAGTTTTTAAAAAATATAAAAGCCCTTTAATATATTAACTGATGTAAAACCACTTCAAGTGTAATTCTAATCAAAATTTCACTGGAAGAGACTTTTTAAATATTGTGATGCTTGCTCGGGGTGCCCCAAACCATAAGCCACTGTTACCCCTCTGCCTCAGCAAGAGAGAGTTTTGCTGGAGCTTTAACTGTGTGTCAGCTCCCTGCCATACCAGTGTGTCCACCTCACCAACAAACTCCTTGAGATTCTGTCAGTCGTAACCTAGCTTTGCAGGTAACATTCAGTGAACCCCAGTTCCCAAACCCCCAGGAGAGCGTTCCTCTGCAGTATCCAGCTCTGGATATCACTGGACGTTCACAGAAATCACCAAGTTTACTGCCTCTAAAGAGACAGTGCGTGCACCAGCCTGTTAATTTAGCTGAGGATCCACACTTTAATGCACAACACGGGGATGATTTTCTGATAAAACCAAAAGTAAGTCTATTAATAAGAATAGTGATGTAAGTGAGAGTAAGCAAGGATAATAGAAACAGAAAATGGTGACAAAAATAAAACACATTTTCTAGTGTCTAAAATTTAACAGATTACAATCTTGGTCTCAGGCAATTTCACTGTTACAGTCAGATCAGTGTCTTTAACCCACCCACCTTTCACAGATTTCTGTGTTCATTAAGTGATGGCTTCTTGGTTCTCTTTATACTTCTCCAAACTCACTGTTTTGTCTCCAGAAGCAGGATGACCCCCTGCTGTTCATCTCATCCCCCTGTTGACTCATATGTAAATGGAGTTTCCATTGTTTTGGTTCCATATTGCCTTATTTACATTAGGGAGAGGGAGATAGCTACCTTCCCTCCGGTCTGAGAGAAACCCTTTGTCTGATCAGACTTGAATGCACAATATCAATAAGTATCCATGCTTCCTCACAGTGTTAATACATACATTTCACAATGATATTCATGATCAGTGTGTTGCTGGCTTTCATAAAAGACCTTACTTAATACACATTTATACAGTAACTCCTCACTTAGAGTTGTCCCGGTTAATGTTGTTTCGTTGCTGATCAATTAGGGAACATGCTCATTTAAAGTTGCGCAATGTTACCTTATAACGTTGTTTGGCAGCTGCCTGCTTTGTCCACTGCTTGCAGAAAGAGCAGCATGTTGGAGCTAACTGGTGGGGGCTTGGAACCAGGGTGGACTGGTAGCCCTCCTATCAGCTTCCTGCTCTCTCAAGTTCCCTGTGCAGCAGCCGCCCAACAGGCTATCAGTTGCCGGCAGTTCAGCTGTCCCTCCCCCCTCTGCCTTGGAGCTGCTCCCGGGAGCCTCCTGCTTGCTGTGGCGGGATGGAGGGGGGCACTAATATCAGGGTGTCCCCCTCCCCCTGCCACCTGCTTATCCTATCTCCATAGAGCAGGGGGCGGAGGGACAACAAGACAGGGCTCAGGACAAGGGAGGGAGCTTGCAGGCAGTAGCTGCTGTCTCAACTTCCTGATCTAAAAAGGTAATGTACTTAGAGTGGGGTCAGCATACTTAAAGGGGCAATGCACGTCTCTCTCACAGGGTGTGTGTCTCTGTCAGCCATGCTGTCTCCCCTCCCTGCATTCGTGCTGCCTTGTAGAGTGTGGGGCTACATTAACAACAAGGTGTTAACCCTTGAGGGCTCAGCCGAGTGCTAGTTCATCATTTAGCAGTAAGGCATTCCCTGGGAAATATCCCACCCTCTTCCACCTTTTGACTTCACCACCTCAACCAAGCTTCATAATCATCATTGTTGTGTACAGTATTAAATTGTTTGCTTAAAACTTATACTGTTTTTATACATATATAATACAGTCTTTTGTCTGGTGAAAAAAATGTCCCTGGAACCTAGCCCCCCGCCATTTACATTAATTCTTATGGGGAAATTGGATTTGCTTAACATCATTTTGCTTAAAGTTGCATTTTTCAGGAACATAACTACAACATTAAGCAAGGAGTTACTGTAGTAAAATAGTATTGTATACAGTATTCAGTTGTTTGTTTGGGAGGTTTCAGGCCCCTGTTCTTCCTCTGGGATGTCTGGACTCTGCTTATCACAAATATGTAGTCATAACTGCACATACAGTTTTGTATCATTGTTTTAAACATAAAATGTTTGCTGCTATTTTCTGTTCTCCAGCACATATCTGAACTGTAACTCTTAAGGTATTTTTTCCTCCCTATGAACTCAGCATAACTTGTCTTTTAATATATCTATCATGCAGGTGTAGTATGTTGAAATATTTGTTTTCACTTAGTACTCTACAATAATTCTTGAATGGCGAACAAGCCATTTGTTGGTCTGTCTGTGAACTTAATGTCTGTCTAAGCTAGGTGTTTGTAAAGGAAATGGCTTTTATGCTAGATTGCAGTGCATAAATGCACAAAAAAATAAGGTTGGCCTACAAAACCTCCACTCACCACCACCGCCACTTATTTTGTGTTGGTTTTCATTATTGCCCACTTTAATGTCATCAGAGTTTAACTCATTTCACTTGTATAATGTAGTAAAATCAGCCTTCTATAACTGTAAACTTTAAATTGTATCCATGGTTTTAGGTATTCATGACGAATCTGCCAATTTTAATTATTTTAGTAAAAGTTAACATTACCAACAGTAACCACTGTGGTATTGGAGCCTAGTTTAAGTATATGTTGAAAACTGCAGCGTGTTGAATGCTATGATGTGTTGATAAATGCTGACTCTTTAATTTGTCTCTGTATTGCAGTTTGCCAATCCTTGTGGTTTGGTAGTGGAGGGTTGTTTAGTTTATAGATTCTGTTACATAGTGTTACTCCAATTTGCTATGTCTTAGACTGCTGTCTGGGTCTGTATGGTGTAGCTTGTATTTACTTAGCAAAATAACTTCATTTTCTCAAAGAAGGCATTTGTAAAAACTGAGATTGCCTTCCCCAGGGAGCTAAAAACTATGGGTAAGCCTAAAAATAATGTATTAAGTGGCACCAGAAAAAATAATGGTTTATTTGCCCATCTATTCATTCTGGCTTGTCGCGACTCCCTATGTTACATCTTGGCTTTTTCCGTGATGAGCAGACACTTCGCAGTAGAAACCAGGGTGTAATAATGGAGTAGACCTCCTACTTATTACTGGCCAGCTGCCTCACCGTAGCTGACTCTACAGGGCTCCAGCTGGAATCTGCTGTGCTTTGTGCTGTAGTGCTGGTGTTTGAACACTGGCTGTAGGGGTCGCCAAGCTTTCAGTACAGTCAGCCTTTCAAGTTGGAAAGCTGTCAGATGAAGGGCTGTCAGTTTAGAATATTGTTTCTTCCCAGTGTCTGGGCAAACTTGCTGCAACAACATAGCTTTATTTACAAACCCAAACCTTCCATCTACTTTGGGGTATGACTTTCTCAATGTCTAGCTTGTGTTACAGACTCAGATTACTTGTTAGCAATGATTTGTACATATTTCACTGTGCTAAAGTTTACCTTTTTAGTATCTTAATGCTTTTTAAAGCAAATACACCTGGGGGTGGATTGATTTTTTTTTTTTTTATTTTTTTTAAATCAGCAAGCTGGAAACCTTAATTTAAATAATCACTGGTTCTTAATTTTGTTTTGCATATGTACCTTTTTAGTTATTCTCCTAAAGAAAGGTTGATTCTCATGGGATAATAATAATTAAAACATGTTGATTTGCAAACAAATATAGTCTTTTACACTAAATTAGGAACTTTATGCTAACCAGGTGGGTACACTATATCTGTACATGTTAATTTAAGCAATTATATAGGTTAACATGTGTTTAGGAAGATATTTTTTATGTTAGAAAATGGTGAATGATATATTTCTTATTAACTAGATTCATTTTTTACTTGTGATTTGTGTTTAAGCTGAATTTGGATGGAAATTTGCATTCAATTAAAAAGGCACAAAAACAGCATTTAACATTTTTGTTTTTATTAGTTAAATAAAAACTACCTTACATGTGATGGATATAGAAAAAAAAAGTTTATACACACTGATTATACTATACCAGAGGTGTATCACTATAAGCTAACAGTACAATTATATGTATTGCACTACTTTAGGCTCAGCAGACTGCACCTGCAGATACAGTTTTATGTAGTGCAAATGCACATGATGTAGAGCCCAAGGGTATCAAATAGATAGCTCCTTAACAGTAGCTAGGGAAGTTAAAGAAATATCAGCAGTTACTAGCAGGTAAATAAATACAGAAGTGCTAGCGGGAGGGAGGTGGTAATAACTGTAGGCCGCAGGATGAAAGTCTGAAAGAGTAGTAATTGAGTGTACCTTGATATTGCTTCATGATTTTTATCCTCCACATCTAGCT